GTCACGGCCGGAGGGTGTCACGGCCGGAGGGTGTCACGGCCGGAGGGTGTCACGGCCGGAGGGTGTTACCTCCCGGTGCCCAGCCGTCCCCGCCCTGCGGGCTCACCTCAGCCACGCGGCCCCGGGCCAGCACGGCGATGAGCTGCGCGCCCCGGATGGTGCTCAGGCGGTGGGCGATGAGCAGCACGGTGCGGCCGGTGGCTGCACGGTCCAGCGCCTCCTGCACCGCCCGCTCCGCCTGCGCATCCAGCGCGCTCGTGGCCTCGTCCAGGATGAGCACGGCCGGGTCCTTGAGCAGCGCCCGGGCGATGGCGATGCGCTGCTTCTGGCCCCCGGACAGCGCCGTGCCACGCTCACCTGCGGGACACCGCGGGGACACCGCGGCCCGAGGGGACATCGTGGGGATGGCGGTGCCGCACCATCCCGGGGGACCACCTCACCCACGGCCAGGGAACCCCAGAACCTCCGTGCCTCATCAGCCCGGGGAGAGCCCCACCTCCCACATCCGAACCCCATCCCCGCCGCTCAGAGCCCAGTGCGGCCGCAGCTCCCTCTGGCACAGCCGAACATCGGCAGTGACCGGCAGCCGCTGTCCCTGCAGGACCGGGACCATCTCGGCTGGAGGCCCACACTTGCCTGACCCCCTCCCGCCCTGGCCATACCCACGACGGTGTCGTAGCCATCGGGGAAGCTGCGGATGAAGCCGTCAGCGTTGGCGAGCCGGGCGGCCTCGTACACCTCGGCATCAGAGGCTCCTGGCTTCCCGAAGCGGATGTTCTCCATGATGGTTGTGCCAAACAGCACCGGCTCCTGCAGCAAAACCCCAGCCCTCAGCACTGAGCCTCAGCCATGGACCACCTCCCTCCTCTTCCCCAGGGACAGCCGGGGGTCCTGGCCAGCAGCGCTCCTGTCCCCACCTGGCTGATGAAGCCGATGACCTGCCCCCGCAGCCAGGAGGGGTCCAGCCTGGCGATGTCCTGCCCGTCCAGGGTGATGGTTCCTGCCGTGGGCTCATAGAACCGCTCCAGCAGCGCTGCCACCGTTGACTTCCCTGGGGATGGGGACCCCTGAGCCCCCCTGCTCCAGACCCCTGGCTCCAGCAGCACTGGGGGATTCCCGGCACACACTGGGCGCACTGGGCAGAACTGGGGCAGAGCAGGATAAACCCGGGGGGGGTACTGGTACCTCCTCCAGAGGGGCCCACGATGGCCACGGTCTGGCAGGGGGGCAGGGTGAGGCTGAAGTCCTGCAGGACAGGGTAGCCAGGCCGGGTGGGATAGCTGCAGGGAGAGCAGGGGCTGCAGAGCTGTGGGGACATGGTGCCCGTCCCCCTGTCCATGGGGTGGCCCAGGGGGCCATGGGGGGCAGTCCCAGGCGGGACTCACCTGAACGAGACGCGGTTGAAGCAGATGCGGCCACACAGGGAGTGGGCAGGGATGGTGACTCCCCCCTGCAGTGGCACGGGGGGCTCCAGTCTCAGCAGCTCAAAGACACGGGCACCAGCGCTCAGACCCCGCACCGCCTGTGGGGGGACAGCAGGAGCACCTCATGGTCCCCCAGGCCCCCAGACCCCACACCACCCGCAGGGAGGGTAGCGAAAGCACCCCCAGAGCCCCAAACCTGAATGCCCAGCCTCAGGGGGTGCCAGGACCCCTCACCCCACCTACCTGGCCCATCAGAATGGAGATGTTGGCCAAGGACCTGGGATGCACAAGGTCAGAGGTTGAACTCAGGGCTGTGCCCAGGCATGCTGCAGGGTACAGGGGCTGCCAGAGGTACTGGGGGTACCTTTGGGCCCCGCTCTAACCTTTGCACCGTCTGCGAGGCCACCAGGAAGGACATGAGGTCACCAGGCGAGAGCTGGTCTCCGGCCATCAGGGAGCCACCGACGAAGATGGTTCCCAGGACGATGCCTGTGGGGTGGGAGCAGGGCTGGGATTTGACGGGGACATGCAGAAGGGACATTTGTAGGAGGTCCTGCCCAAAGGAGTCCCACCCCACAGCCCCCCAGGTCCCACTCTGTGACCCCACTCACCATTGAGCGCCAGGTTGGAAAGCCCCTGGAAGGCGGCGATGCCGAGTCCTAGCCGCTCACTCAGCCGTCCGGCGCAGTCCACCTCAGCACGGAACAGCCTGGGGCAGGGATGGGCTGGGATCCCCACTGCCACAGCCCCAGCACCCCCAGGCTCCCCACCCTGCCCCTTACTCTGCCTGCTGCTCCTCCATGGCGAAGGCCCGCACGGTCCGCACGTTGCCCAGCGCCTCGTCGGCCACCACGGTGGCCTTGGCCACCTGCAGGGACAGGGGGGACAGTGGGGACACCCCACACCGTGGCCCCGGGGGCGGCAGGAAGGGGGTCTCAGGCGAGGGTTACCTGCTCCTGTGCCTGGCGGGAGAGGCTGCGGAGGAAGGCGCCAATGAAGGCGCCGGCGCCCACCAGCGCCGGCAGCGCCACGAGCAGGAGCCCGGTGAGCTTGGGCGAGAGCAGGTACAGCGACACGAAGCAGCCGGCAGTCTGGGTGCCGCTGCGCAGGCCCTGCGGGACGGGGCAGTGGCTGGGGGACCACCGGGCTTGCCCAGGAGATAGCCAGGCTCACCTGGGAGGCGGCCAGGCTCACCTGGGAGATGGCCGGGCTCACCTGGGAAATGGCCGGGCTCACCTGGGAGATGGCCAGCTTGAAGGAAGACTTGAACTCCTGGATGTCGGCGGTCAGCCGTGTCACCAGCTGCCCCGTGCGCGTGGCATCAAAGAAGGCCACCTCCTGCCTGCCGGGGGAGCGGTGGGTGCGGGTCCCCGCGCCCCCATCTCTCCCGTCCCCTGTCCCCGCTGGGGTTACCTGAGCAGGGCGCTGAAGAGCGCCTTGCGCATGTTGCCCGCCACCCGCTCTCCGACGCGGGCCAGCAGCGCGATGTACCCGAAGGTCAGCAGGCCCTGCGGGACGGGGGGGTCAGGAGGGCCGGAGGGCACCCCGAGACCCCCGCCCGCCCTTTCGGGAGGCCGGCACTCACCTGCAGGCAGTAGACGGCGAGGAGGCGCAGGGCCGGGCTCTGCACCTCCCGCAGGTACGTGGGCACGTGGCCGCGGGCACATCGGGCCACCACGTTCACCAGCTGCCCCAGCAGCACCGGGATGCGCACGTTGAGCAGGGCCGCGCCCAGCGCCAGCTGCGGGGGTGCCCACAGGGACAGGGCTGTCACGGCGCTGGGACAGCAGCACCCAGGGTGCCGCGCCATTGCACCGGGACAAGCAGGTGGCCTGGCACAGCGCTGGGACAGCGGGTGTCACCCCGTGGCGCTGGGATAGCGCGTGCGTCACACAACAGCGGACACCAGCACGGCGGCTGTCCCGCAGTGGCACCGGGACAGTGGCTGCCACACCGTGGCATGGGGACAGGGGGTGTCACACCCCTGCACGGGGACCTTGGCCATCACGCCGTGACACTCAGACAGTGACAGCCGGTGAGTGACAAGCTGGGATGGCGGCTGTCGTACCACGTCAGTGGGACGGTGGCCATCACGCTGTGGCACCGGGACAGCATAGGTGTGACACGGGGACAGTGGGGACAGGGGCGATCACGGCCACCCACTCGCCGCTGCTCACCACAACAGCAGCTGAGAGCGTCAGGAGCTGCGGGCGCAGGAAGGTCCAGAACAGTGGCCAGTCAAAGGGAGGCTCCGGGGGGGACTCTGGAGGCTCGGGAGCACCGGGGGGGACCGCGGGGACAGCGGCCTCCTGGCAGCGCGCGGCCGTGCCCAGCAGCCCCAGCACCACGCAGCCCGTGGCCGAGCCGGCCAGGAGCAGGCGGCGGGGGGCCGGGAGCGCTGCGGGCAGCCGGGGGGGCCCGGCCAGCTCCAGGCGCCCCCCATACCTGAAACTGAGGAGAGGGGTGACTGAAAGGTGCCCCAGCTGGGGTGGCACCCACGGGTCACCCCAGGGACCTCAGAATCCCATCTCCCCCCACCAAGAGTTGTGGCCTCCAAGGGACCCGGGAGTCCAGGATCGCCCTCGGCGTCGCCTGCAATCCCAGGGTCCTGGCTCCCCCCACCAAGAACTGGGGTGCCCCCACCACCCAAGGGGTTCGTGAGGCTGGGAACCTCCCGGGCACGCCAGGGCTGCGGAGTCCGAGCTCCCCCGCACCTCTCAAGGTACCCCGGGGCTCCCCAGTTCCTGCCCGCGTGTTGCCCCCGCCCTGACCCCAATCCCGCGGCTCCGGGAGGGCCCCGTACCCCTAAACCTCCTGGGAGCCCCGGCCTCCCCCCTGTGGTCCCCCCGCAGGGATCCAGGTGTCTGGGAGTCCCCGCGAGTTCCCGGGACCCCTGACTCCCCTGCAGCCCGACTCGCACCCCCGGGACCACCGCGACCTCCGAGTCTGGGCTCCGCCCAGCAAGAGTTGGGGCTCCCGCACTCCAAAGGACCCGAGAGTCCGGGATCCCCCCGGGATGCCCTGCGCTCCCCCGGTACCTGCGCCCCGGGACGGAGGGCGGCCGGAGCCGGGTCCAAGCGCCCGCTGCCCGCAGCAAGAGCACCGGCAGCGGCATGGCGGCACCGGCGGGGGCGGCACCGGGGGCGGCACCGGGAGACGCGGGGCGGGAGCGGGGAGGGCCGGGGGCGGGGAGGGGCGGTCCCGGGCGGGCGGAGCCCCAACACCGCGGCTCGGGCCCTGCGCCGGCCCCGACCCGCTCCGGCGGCTCGGGCCCTTCCCCGGTCTGACCCCTCGGATCCCCGCTCCCGGCACGCCCGCTCCTCCCCGGGGCCGCCTCCGGAGCGGCCGGACCTGCACCGGAACCCCGCGCCGGAGCTCGGAGCGCACAGCGGCACCCCCGACCCCCGCCGCTCCCCGGGGCTGCCCCCGGTGCGGCCATGGCGGGCGGCGGCGACCGGGGGGCCCCTTGAGCTCCGGCAGCGGCGGCGACAGCGGGGACCGAGCCGGCAGCGAGCGGCCAGGTGAGCAGGGACGGGAAGCGGGGAGCGGGGCTGGCAGAGCCCCGCTGGCCCCGGTGCGGGGTCACGCCGCTCCTTTCCGGGCTCCTTCGGCCCGGCCGCTGCCCGGGACCCCCCATCCCGCTGGGGCGGGTGTGTCCCCTGCTGCCCTGGGGGTGCCCGTGTCCCCACGTGTGGTCCCGGGTCACTCGCGGGGGTCGCTCCGGAGCCCCGTCCGCGTTCGCCATAGCCATGTGTCACCGCTGGGGCTTGTGTCACCACCGGGCTGTCACCCTGCCGTGTCGCCACGGGCAGGTGTCCCCATGCGGAGCCCCGGGGTCCCCGTGACACAGGTGACGCTGCGGAAACACACGTGTGTCCCGGCAGGGTCACCGGGGCCGCTGCCGGGGGCCGCCGGGTCCCGCGGGTGCCACGTCCCCCGGGCTCTGTCCCTGGCCCGGGGGTGTCCCTGGCCCCGGCCCGGGGATCCCCCCGGCCCCCCCACCGTTTACACTCACGGGCTATTTTCGGGGCCGCGGGTATTTTTGGCTTCCCGATGCGGAGCTGGTTGGGGACGGGCCGTGCCGATGTCACCCGCCGGGACACCCGATCCTGGGGGATGCGGCCGCTGTCCCCAAAGGGGTGCGGGGGGTCGGGTCCCTCCTGCCGCATCAGCCCCGCGCCGTGAGTCAGCCCCGGGCAGGCGGGGCCAGACGGTGTCACCTGCGGCCACCGGCCCGGCCGGACACCGGCTGTGGCCACCGCGGGGGACGCAGGTGACGCGCGACGCTGCGGGGCTGCGGTGAGGGGACCGCGGGGGGAGGTGGACGGGGGTCCCGTCCTTCCCCATGGGGTGATGGTCCCATCCAAGGGTTTGGGGTCCCTTCCAAGAGGTTTGCGTCTCCTGGGGGGGTTGTCCCCTGCCCCAAGGTCCGGGGTCCTGCCCTGCCCCAGAGAGGTGGGGGGTCCAGTCCTTCCCTGGGCCGGGGGCGCGCAACGCACTGAGAGGCCACCGGGGCTCAGGACCGGTCGTGAGCCGGTCCCGTTGTGCCCCCCGGCTCCGGGGGTGGTGTATCCGTGGTGAGTGGGGTCTGTGGGGGGGTCTGTGGGTACAGGAGTCCATGGAGGGGGGGGTCTATGGGGAGGAAGAGTGTGGGGGGCTGTGGACACAGGGGTCCGTGGGGAGAGGTGTCCCCCTACTCGGACCGGACAGCGCAGCGTGGCCTGGGGGACAGCGGGGGGAAAGTGTTGGGGTCCCTCAGACCCCGGGGACCCTCCCGGGGAGCCCCGAGAAGCCGTGCAGGGTCACGGCAGGCTCTGGCACTGGCCTGGCCGGTGGGACAGGAAGGGCCGGTGGCACCTGCGGTGTCACCTGCCCGCGGCCAGGGCCAGCTCAGGCCACCCGAATTCGGGGCACGCGGGCGGCGCTGCGGGACCCGAGCGGCATTTCCTGTGCCTCACACCTGCCCCGACCCCCTCCGCCCCACACCTGCCCCGCGGCGGCCCCATCTCCGTGGCAGGTGCTCACGTTCCCCGGCAGGTGATGGCGGAGCAGGGAGAGGAGGACCGGGAGTACCGGGAATACCGCCGGCTGGAGGATTGTGAGGAGGACTCGCCCCCCGGCGAGGAGGAGGAGGAGCAGCTGCTGCTGCACGTCACTGAAGGACCGACAGGTACTGGGGTCCCATCTGCTGGGGGATCGGGCTTCCCGTGGGCTGCTTGGGGACCCCAGGTGGGTGTTTCTGGGTGGGACGCGGGGGTCCCAGGTGAGGGGGCGGTACCACCTTCCCACCTGACCCCCCCCGTGTTTTTTCCCCCAGACTCGTGGCACCACATTAAGGACCTGGACAGTTTCTTCACTAAGATATCCTGGCACAGCCCCTGGTGGCACTGTGGGGGATATGGGGGAGCATGGGGTGACTCTGGGGATGGACATGGGGGGTCCATCACCTCTTCGTAGTCTCCTTAACCCCTCCTCACATCTACCAGTTCCACCAGAGGAATGGCTTTGCCTGCGTCCTGCTCTCGGACGTCCTCGAGCTGGTGTAAGCGATGCCGCGTTGTCACCGGGCGGTGCCACACGGCTGTGACCCAGGGGTCTCACTGACCCCCCGTCCCCCCAGGCAGTTCCTGTTCGTCGTCACCTTCAGCACGTTCCTGCTGTGCTGTGTCGATTACGATGTCCTGTTCGCCACCCGCCCCCTCAACCACAGCCACGTCCCCGAGCGCGCCAAGGTGACGCTGCCCAACGCCGTGCTGCCCGCCCCGCAGTGCGCCCGCAGGTGGGCAGGGGGACACCGGGGGACACTGCAGGAGCTGTGCAGGGCTCTCGCTGCTGCGGGTGACGCGTGGGGTCCCAGGGGTGTGGGTGACATGCGTGTCCCCAAAGGGTCGGTGGTGGTGGGCGGCTACCGCTGCTGCTGCCTTTGTGGCCACGCAGAGGGCCCGGTGCCACCAGCGTGGCTCTGTGGGGGCCAGGGTACCGCTGGTGTGGCTGCCTGGGGTCCTGGTGCTGTGGGACACGTGTGTCCCCAGCGGTCTCTGAGACAGCAGATGGCCATGAGGCGCTTGGCGGCACTGGTGACGCCTGTGTTTCTGCAGGCTTCATGGCAGCGGGTGGCAGCTGTCTGTGGAGGGTTTGTTGGCACTGCTGACACTTGTGTCCCCACAGGCTCCATGTCAGCAGGTGGCTTCTGGTTCTGCTGGCACTGGTGTGGCTGGGGGGGTGCCCAGTGGCACTGATGACACCCGTGTCCCCGCAGGCTCCGTGGCAGCGGGTGGCAGGTGGCCGTGGGGGGTTGGTGGCGCTGGTGACACCCGTGTCCCCGCAGGCTCCGTGGCAGCGGGTGGCAGGTGGCCGTGGGGGGTTGGTGGCGCTGGTGACACCCGTGTCCCCGCAGGCTCCGTGGCAGCGGGTGGCTGCTGTTCCTGCTGGTGCTGGCGGGCGCGGTCTGGCTGTGCCGCCTGGTCACGGCACTCCGGCGCCTCGTGGGCTACTGGGAGATCCGGAGCTTCTACATCCGCGCTCTCGGCATCCCCGCGGTGAGGGGCCGGGGGCTGGGCAGGGGCCCGCGGGGGGCACCGGGCTCCGGGCCGGGCCACGAGGTGCTGCGCGGCGCCGTGGGGCGCTGAGCCGTGCCGCGGGGTGCCCGGGCCGATCCCCGTGCCGTTGTCACAGGAGGAGCTGTGTAACCACAGCTGGCAGTCGGTGCAGGCCCGGCTGCTGGCGCTGCAGCGGCGCCAGCCCCTGTGCGTGCCGCGCCGGGAACTGACGGAGCTCGACATCCACCACCGCATCCTGCGCTTCCGCAACTACACCGTGGCCATGGTCAACAAATCCCTGCTGCCCGTGCGCTTCCGCCTCCCGCTGCTCGGCCCCGTCGTGTTCCTCACTCGCGGCCTCCAGTTCAACCTGGAGCTGCTGCTGTTCCGCGGCCCGGCCGCGCTCTTCCAGAACACCTGGAGCCTGCGGCCGCAGGTGAAGCGGGCGGGCGCTCGGCGGGCGCTGGCGCGGGGGCTGGCGCGGGCGGCCGTGCTGCTGGGGGTGGCCAACCTGGCGCTGTGTCCCTGCGTGCTGGGCTGGCGCCTGCTCCTCGCCTTCTTCAGCTACGCCGAGGGGCTGAAGCGGGCTCCGGGCAGCCTGGGCGCTCGCCGCTGGTCGCTCTACGCCCGCCACTACCTGCGCCACTTCAACGAGCTGGGCCACGAGCTGCGGGCGCGGCTCGGCCGCGGCCACGCGCCGGCCACCAGGTACATGGACTCGTTCAGCAGCCCGCTGCTGGCCGTGCTGGCTCGCCACGTCGGCTTCTTCGCCGGCTCCGTGCTGGCCGTGCTCATCGTGCTCACCGTGTACGACGAGGACGTGCTGACGGTGCAGCACATCCTGACGGCCATCACGCTGCTGGGGCTCGTGGTCACGGTGGCCAGGTGCGTGCCGGATCGCCGCTCACGGTGCCCGGGTGCGAGGGCCGGACTCCGCCGTGCCGTGCTGGGCCTGGCGGGCGGCGGGGGGCTAAGGTGGGACCCCGCCCGTGCCCCTGCAGGTCCTTCATCCCGGACGAGCACGCGGTGTGGTGCCCGGAGCAGCTGCTGCAGCGCGTCCTGGCTCACGTTCATTACCTGCCCGAGCACTGGCAGGGCCGCGCCGGCCGCGCCGAGACACGAGCAGAGATGGCGCAGCTCTTCCAGTACAAGGCTGTGGGTGCAGACCCCCGCCCCCCGAGACCCTCCTCCCCAGGGCCCCACTCCCCTGGGACCGGCCTCTCCCCACCGCTCCCCACCGCCGGGACCCCGCAGACCGGCAGCCCCCCTATCCTGGGACTCCCTACTTCAGGATCCCCAGCTTGGACCCCTCGACACTGGGACCCCTTGCTCCAAGAACCCATTGCCCTGGGACTCCCGGCCCCAATCCCCTGCCCTGGGACCTCCCACCCCACGGACGGGGAGCTGCCTGTGCCAGGATCCCATATCCTGGCATCCACCCCACTGGGACCCTCCAAGACTTCCCATCCCAGGAGCCTCCTGCTTTGGAATCCGCCACCCCAAGATCCCTTCACCCCGGGGCAGCCCAAGGACTCCCCTCCTCAGGACATACCGCCCTGATCCCCCTACCCTGGACATCCCACCCCTGGACTTCCAAATGTCCCTTCTTCCGCCCCGGGACACGCCCGGATCCCGCTGTCCCCCGTGCAGGTTTTCATCCTGGAGGAGCTGCTGAGCCCCCTCGTGACGCCCCTCATCCTCATCTTCGCCTTTCCCCCCCGCGCCCTCGACATCGTGGACTTCTTCCGCAACTTCACGGTGGAGGTGGCGGGGGTGGGCGACATCTGCTCCTTCGCGCAGCTGGACGTGCGCCACCACGGCAACCCCCAGGTGGGCACCGGGGGGCCCGGGCCGAGGCGTTCCGGGGCCGTGCGTCCCCTGCCGGGGTGTCCCACGTCCCTGTCCCCACAGTGGCTGTCGGAGGGACACACGGAGGCGCCCCCGGAGCGCCAAGCGGAGCACGGGAAGACGGAGCTGTCGCTGATGCGCTTCGCCCTGAGCAATCCCCGCTGGCGGCCGCCGCCGCCCGCCCGCCGCTTCCTCGGCCACCTCCAGGCGCAGGTGACCCGGGACGCGGCCGCCGCGCCCCCCCCGCGGCCCCTGCTAGCCGAGGGACCGCTGGCCGCGTCCCTTCTGTCGGAGGACTCGGCCCTGGCGGTGAGTGGGGGGCTTCGGGGGGGCTGCGGCGTTTTGGCTCTCCCGCTGA